TGTCATTGTCCTGTGAGATTCATATTATCTGATGAACACAGTCTTATTATTATTTGTTGATAGTAGTATTAGTAGTATTTCAAGCCATAACCTTAATAAATTTTATAAACATTTGATAACATCATGCAGTAGTCATCTTAAAAAAGTACATACGCGTTAAGTTTGTGCATTTTTCAAAATTTTGATATAGTGCAATGTTGCTTTTTCTTGCATAGAAGTATATAAAACACATCAAAATTAAGTCCGAAAGTTATAATCAGTATACTCTTTTGAACTCGATAATTGACATTATATGCCATTTTCTAGGTTGTATTCTGTAGGGATTTGATCTCAGTTGAAAGTACCATTGGTGAATAACTCCCTAACACTTGTTATAAATAAAATCCCTTGAAAGTGAAACGGTTGTCGTCATTACTATAAGGTGAACGTCTAGCTATATTGTTGTCAATATGTAACAATGGATCTAATAGTTAAGCACTCCTCACAAAACTTAGTTTTAATCATTAACAAAGCTATGGGTAAGCTAATGCAATGCTAAATAGTTCCATAATAAAAAGAAACATTTATTTTAATCATTCCTACTTCCCACGAATAATCCAGTTCAAGCCAATTTGTGATAAATCCCATTTAAACATTAAACAAAATCCCTGCCTCATAATTATATCCCTTCTGTTTAACAATCACTCTTTAATAAATCCACAAATTAATTAAATATAATCAGGTCAAAATAATTAAAATTAATTTTTTATTAGAATGGTGGTTTGTAAAGATTGTAGTAATTTCAACAGTTGAATTTATAAGTCAATGTTTAAGCGCACCGCTGAGGAGTCCCATACTACGACGAAACGGTCGTCCAGTGCTTCCAGGTTTTCCATGGTAGTCTAGCTTCAATTAACCGATGATTTCAACCATTGAAATTACTAAAATCTCTACAAAAACCTCTTCTGATTTGTTTGTTAATCATGGAAAATATTCGTGATCAGTAAGTTGTAATAGAGGTGTTATTTTTTCTTTACTCCTACACTATTATAATACATAGTTCGTACAGTTTTCTTCATGAGAAAAAACCGTTTTTAAAAAGGGAAAATTCCAGTTGAAATTAAATGTATATTATCAGCAGAATTTATTAGTCATGCATCCAGGTTTTCCATGGTCGTCTAGCTTCAATTGGCTCATGATCTCAACTAGTTAATTTAAGCCTTATCTAATTAATGTAGGTCTCTATTTTTCCTAGTACTATTTTTATAGACAAAAAGTAGAAATAGTTTGTTTTGTGTTGGGAATTTGTGAATATAACCTAAATTGACATTGTACTGAATATTTTTGACAATCTCTAGTGTCACTTTAAATCACAGCAATGTAATATAGAATTTGACAGATATAAATTAGTTAATCTTCATGGTTTTACACTCTACTATACATAGGTGTCATTATTTATTATAAAAATCCGTACCAAATATATATAGTAGTGAATCAATTTACTAAATATTTGTCTCAATTGATTGATCACCAAGTAGAGTTTATCTAGTCGTTTTAAATGCTAATCGGATTCTATCTTCCAGTCACACAGAAAGTCAATTGTAACCTTAATAACTTACTGGTAACTTCTCAGTCCGCGTAACTGGGTGCAACTGGTTGAATTGCCTGTCAGGCGCGAGTTCCATCTAGATTACGGATATGATTTGCTGACAAGTGCCAAATAGCACGAAAATCAGTTATAGGGTTTCCTGTCGACTTCCTCCATCCAGCTAACAATTTCTCTGAACTGCTTTATCAGTTAGTAACTCAAAAGATGCAAAATTATAGTTGAAATAAAATAACTCAATGATTGCAACTGGTTACGCAAGAATAAAAATAGGAGTTTGGTAATTCTGAAATTAAGCATTCGGTTAAGAATTTTTAGTGTTATTTATGAATATAATGCCGAGAACTTAAAGTAATTAGCTTATTAAAGCCAAACATTGTAAGGAAAAATTGAAAGTCGAGACTGAACAAAATTGAAATTAAACACGTAAGCCATTATTTGTAGGTAGTTTCAGGCTGATCCTAAGTTTAATCGTTAGCTGCGAGACCTTCGAGTCTTGGGTTTTATGCCCAGTGGGGTGCTGAATGTGCAAAAGTCTTATATTAGGAAGAAAACGCATATATCCGGTACTTCTTTTATGCTGATCGATACTTAACTAAGATCAGTCTGTGATGCAAAGTATAAAACCGAAAAACTCGCCAGTTGTAATTGTAATTAATTAGATCAGGTTGCACAGATTTTCTCTGTATTGTTTTTAGTAGGTTAATCAAATATGAAGGGTAATATTCAAAAATACAATGACCTATTTATTTAGTTTTGTATCGAGTATATGATTGACTCCTGAGGAGCATTTGAACATGTGCATACAATATCAGAATCCACTGTTGGATCTTTTCTTCTTACTAATATATGTTGATCCTTTTAAATTAAATATGCTGCCTAATTTAGTGAAATTTTGAAGGGATTTTCTTTTGCTTACCTGTTCTAATTTTATCGCATATTGATCGGATCAGATCTTGGATAACAACGATTATTTTTTTTGGTATTTTATTTGTTTGTTTGTTTGGTTTTTTTTGTCCAAAACTCGAGTCAAATTGTTTTCTTTTTCACAAATTTAAAGTATGTGATCTCATATGGAATTAATTAGTTCATTTTTTTGTTTTTGGTTACATTTTGTACGTTTAGGTAAACTCAGGTTAATGAAGTAGTAATGACACATGTGATACATTGTTATACACAGTCTATCAGCTGATATACACTAGTTTTTATAGCTATTATCACATGTTTTACTTAGCAGGCGTATACAGGTATAAAAAGCCGAAAGTTTAAACTACTGTGTAAAATATGTTCTTGTTTTTTTTTCAATTTCAATGTCATGGGTTTAATTTTTCAAAGTGGATACATCCCTCTTCCTCCCCTAAGAAGATCCTTTTAGTGATTTTCTTTACAGTACAATTGATATATTAAAAATCACGAGATAACCGTATTTTATAATGATATTTTACTCAGTCATTCCCACACGCATATAGACTTTCCGATGTAATAGCTAGCAGAATACCTGGTTGATATCTATCCCATAACTGCAACCAACAGTTGAAGACATTAGTTGATATGGCTCAATACCGGTCACAGTAGGATAGATTTATTCACTCTTTGTTATCCGTGAGATTTAAAATGACATTTTCATTACTTTTCATTTTGCGAGTTCATTGTTACTTTAAGAATCGTATTCTGTATGTTTAACCTACTATACGGTCATTGACTTACTACTAGTATCTTGATGCCTTGGCTACCCTTCCGTCTTAATTTCATTTTACTGTTCTATTTTAATGTAGGGACCTGAACTGATGCTTATAACTGACTGACCGACAAATTGATTGATTGTGCTGCTTATCAAGAAAAAAACCCTTACAATTGCAGTTTTAAATGCTATGGAGTTTGTTTCAACTTCTACCGCCTATTTTAAATGTCATTTGATACTATTCTCGGTCAGTCAGCTACAACGTAGGATCAGGCACATATATGCATCGGTCCAAGTTGCCATACCTCATTAGCACAACAAGATGAACACCAGTTCCATAGAAGTAGTCAATCAATGGTGGTAATATATAGAAGAAAGACTATATAAGGATATATTACAGGAAGAAAGAATTAGTTGGTAGAAAGAAAGATGTGAAGTGATTTTAATCTCATAGTTTAAGGGAAGACAGGAAGTGTATACACCGACACGATTGTGATCGATTCTGAGCTATGTCATCCAGAGTCTCCAACCATTGGTTACGATAGTCATTTGGACCCCAACGAAGTAGTCTGCATCTACCGCCAACATGGCTCAGACCAGAAGTGATGCCCATTCTACAACAAATGAATTAGTTTAACTATAATTCTAAAAAAAATTGTTTAAAATAGCCTGTAATAATTATGCAATTCGCTATTTTAGTAAAATGCAATCAAAATGTAAATAACGGGAAAAAATTCTGCTTCTCTCTTCAGCAATATCACTGACTGAAATATCACAAATGATTATAAACGGAAATATTTTTTTTAAAACACATTAGAATTAGCTACTACAATTTTACATCAATGTTGAGATTTTATCCAATTTGTATACAAACTGAAACTAATCAATTGTTTTTGATTGAGATCATGAACCGATTAATGTTAGACCACCACCTTTGGAAACCTGGAAGCACTGGACGGCCGTTTTGTCTTATTGTGGGGCTCCTCAGCAGTGCGCATCCACGATCCCGCTCGCGGGATTCGAACCCAGGGCCTTCGGTCTCGCGCGCGAACGCTTAACTAACTGGACCACTGCTCAGGAGTCCCACAATAGGACGAAACGGCCGTCCAGTGCTTCCAGGTTTCCAAAAGTGGTGGTCTAACATGAATCGGTTCATGATCTCAATCAAAAACGTAATAATCTCCACAACCCCCATACTAGTAATCAATTGTTGTTGTATCGAGAATTTTAGGGTAGCTTTCTCAAGTTTGACTCCAAAATTTAATGACTTGCTTATTGTATATTTCTTCGTAGGCTATTTCTTTAGGTATCGTCACGAATTCACTTAAGAATGTTTTGAGAGACTTAAATATCAGCTGCATTGGGAAAGCGTGTATTATCAGTATAGGGGATTTGTGGAGATTTTAGTATTTTCAGTTGAATTCACTTAGTGTTTTCTGCCACTAGTGATATTATTACTAGTTCTATCACTGTTACATTTTCCTTGATAATTTCATCTTTCTGTGTATTGATATAGTGTAACAATTTGAATCGGTGTACGTATATACCGTATTAGACGTTGCTTATTACTGATTGACTACAGATGGTATCATTGATATCAACCCTTATATGATAAAGACTTTGTCAGATATATTATATCAACCCTTTCTTTTGGTTTCATATATATTTGAGTGGTATTTTTTGTGTAGATTTATTCATGTATTTACTTTCCGTTTTTTTCTTTAAAAAATCCAGACAATCGATTTCGAGTCACATTACGTCATAGTGGTGATGGTAGTAAACTATTTCAAGGTCTTCAAGGCAGTTTACATGTACAACATTGGCGTCTATGTTTAATAGGTGAACCGTCGACTGGATGTAAATTTATTTGTAACTGGCGATTAGATCATGTTGATAAAGCATATACAATGACAATGCCTGCACAAAGTGCAAATCAATTTTTATCAAACAATAGTAATATTAACTCCACCAATACTTCCACTACTACTATTACTACTACTACGAGTAATTCTACGACAGGCATCACCAATAATTCTGCAACATGTGTTTCAACAAGTTTAACATCAACATCTGCTTCTTCTATATCTTCATCTTCGTTTAATACTGGTAATCCATTGAATTTAGATCATCACAGAAATGGATCACGAACTGGATTAACAACAATATCTACAGTACCAACATCGACAACAACAATGATAACATCACCAAGTACTACTGCTTTAAATAATCCAAACAAATATTTGTTTTTATGGAATGTAGTCCAGCTTCAGGAAAAGGTAATCCACCATCTGCTTTTTTGTCCACTGAAAATGAAACATTTCCGTAATACCCTATCGTTATTTTTTGTTATGTTAGAGTCAATAATAGGCTTTGGTTCGCATTTTATTTATGCTTGTGTGTGAAGAAAAGAAACAGAAGTTAAATTTTATAACAATATGACGTTTCAAACTGAAGCACATAAAGCCGTGGTTCGAGCCTGTGCTCCATATTAGCTGCAAGTCAAATATTAATTCAGTCAGTAAACCAACTCTTTTGCGTTAATTTGAAAAATTTTTAACCTCATCTTAATCTACATACGTCCTGTCAAAGACTGTGAACGTTGCTTTAATCAACTCTGCTCATGCTAATATAAAGTGTAGTCTATCGAATCAACTACTTACTTGGAATAAATTTGCTCTAACTACATAAAATCACTAGTTATCAAGATAATAACTTGAGAGTTCAGAATTTATACCATTTTTTAAAAACCTTAAATTAAAGAAGAGTTCATTCATAAATGTCCCCAACTATTTTAGTGTATATTAAAATACTTACTTAATCCTGTTACCCCTCGTAGAGAATCATAGACCACCCATCGGTATTCTCCGTCCAACTCTGTCCTGGGCAATCTTTTACAGTTGTTTTTCATCCTTTTGATGTCTGCCACCAATTCCTGACGTAATGTGTTCCTTGGTTTTCCTCTTTTCCGTTCCCTTAAGGATTCCAAGTTAGTGCTTGCCTAGTGATGCAGTTTAATGATTCCCGTAGCGTATGTCCTATCCATTTCCAGCGTCCTTTCTCAACTTCCTATTCAGTTGGAAGCTGATTTGCTCCCTTCCACAGTATGCTGTTGAAGATAGTATCCGGCTAACGAACACTCAGTATCTTACATGGACAATTGTTTAGAAATAATTGTACCATTTTTATGATGGTTATAGTAGTTCTCCAAGTGTCAGCCCCATACAGTAGGATTGTTTTGAGGTTCGTATTGAAGATTGTGACTTTGATGTTGGTTGACAATTGTTTTACCAATCCTCACCTTTACATCTGCTTCGGGTCCTCCTCGTTCGTCGACGATGTTACCCAGATACGTGAAAGTTTCGACCTCTCCCAGAGCCTATCGATTATGTGTGATAGGGTTGGTGTTCTCCGTGTTGCATTTGGGGACCTTGGTTTTCCCCTTGTGTATGTTGAGGCCTACTGATGCAGAGACTGCTGCTACGCTGGCTGTCTTTATCTGCATTTGTTCGTGTGTATGCGATAGGACGGCTAGGTCATCTGCGAAGTCCAAATCATCTAATTGGTTCTGGGCTGTCCATTTTATTCCGTGTTTTCCTTCAGATGTCGAGGTCTTCATAATCCAGTCAACCACCAGAAGAAAGAGGAAGGGAGAGAGTAGACATCCTTGTCTGACTCGTGTCCTTACTTGGAATGCGTTTTTCAGCTGTCCTCCATGCACGACCTTGCACTGTAGTCCGTCCTATGAGTTCCGGATAATGTTGACAATCTTCTGAGGAACTCCATAGTGTCGAAGGAGTTTCCATAATGTTCTCCTATCCATACTGTCGAATGCTTTCTCACAATCAAGGAAATTGATGTATGGTGACAAGTTCCACTAAACGGATTGTTCAGTGATCATCTGTAGTGTGGCGATTTCATTGATCTCGAAGCTGGACTTTTACTGGATCTTTTATCTGGTTCAGCAACACTGTTGAAAACCTTTCCTTGTACTGACAGTAGTTTGATGCCTCTGTAATTCTCTCATTTGCTCAGACCTCCTTTCTTCGGTATTTTGATGAGGTGTCCTTCTTTCCAGTCCGTCGGTACTTGTTCTTCCTTTTTCTTTGGTGGAGTTTTGTTCTCTGAGCTGGATGGTTTGGTCGTGGAGCTTTCATCGTTCTTCTGAACGACATCATCAGCACAAACTTCAGATAGAAGTCTGAAGTTACTTCTATGTCTGACTTCAGAGCTTCAGCTGGTATATTGACAGATTCTGCTACCTTCCCACTTTTAATTTGCTTGAAGATCATTCTGATTTCTTCTGTCGCTGGTGATGTGAAATGTATAAGAAGGTCTGTATTCCGCTTCCATGTCCGGTGTGTTCAGTGGGTGTGGTCTATTCAAGACCTCCTTAAAGTTTTCTACCTATCTTTTCCTCTGTTCTTGAATCTCGATGATTGTCTTGCCTTCTCCAGTCGCGCACTATATACAAGGGTCTTTCCTTTCCCTGAAAAGCCCACAGGCCTCTCCGATTTTGTTGGTTGCGAATAAAACTACTAATACTTCCACTGATATTTCTACTAATTTGGTATTTGCCTTGGTAATTTTATCTTGACTCTTAATGTGTGGTATTCCGAATTGAATTAATCCATATAGATCCTTGTGCATTTAAGTTAATTAGAAAATCGTAAATAATTTAAGCACACTGCACACAGTCATATCATATGACTGAATAATGTAATCCCATTCAACTGTTTATTGTCTTATGCAACGTTTATGATCTATAGAAACTACTCAAATGATTGGTACCATTGTTTTGTTAATGATAAGCTCCAAGGCCTTAATTGATTGGAGAGTATATGACTCTAAAAAAATGATTTCTTCCAATAGTCTACAATATTCAATCATGTTTCTTTTTCTTTTAATATTTTGTATATTAGCATATTGTATCACATAAAAAGTCTATTCAGCTAGACAGCTATCTTGTGATATCTTTTCATTTGAGGTCTTAGATCAGTAACTCAGTCTTGTGAGAAGGAGCATTAACTCAGTTATTTTGTGCTGTCATTTCACATTATCTATCAATAGGCATCCCACTCATTCTCATGGTCGATAATTCGATCATCAAATCTAAAAGTCCTACACTATAATAATTCTTAACACAAATTGCTAGTTTACTAATCAGATTATATGTAGAATGAATGCTTTCTTATGTGTTTGCATCGCTGGATATAACCAGTTAAAGTTGTATGAGAATACTTTTCATGATCTTTTGGTTTGAAGTAATTTTGATAGATATTCAATCTGTCAGTCAACTGTGAACGATGCAATACATGGGACATATGCGCTTCGGTTCAATTTATCATATTCCGTATCAGCGCAGCGAGACAAAATTATCAAAACAAAAGGCAGATCAGTAGTGATATCGTCAATTTTAGTCAACAACAGTACTATGCGAAAATAAAGAAGGAATCCACGGAATAGAAAAGTGCAATATAATTTCAAAATCCATGATCCAAGAGAAGAGGAAAAATCATTACCTATTCATTATTTGGATCAATTCTAAGCCATGTAATATGTATCAACCAATACATCATTTAATGACTTTATGAAGTGTAGCCATAATTTGGTTTGCCCATTCTAACTTCCAAATTCAACACTAATACACATCTAGTTGTATTTGATAGTAGTATTCCACTAACTCTTAATCACTGCTGACTAATTTTAGTATTCATTTGCATATCCCCGTTTTATTAGTCACCTTTTCTGTCATTAACATATATATATATATATCTTAATATCTTATCTAGGTCGTGGTTCATATATATTTGAAATTGATGGTAGCCGATTAGTTGAGTTAACAATAGCTATTGAGCAATTCACTGCATTACGTTATAATCCAAATTTGAAACCGGCTACATGTGCAGAAGCGTCTCAATTAACTGTTACAGCTCAATCAAATTTAGGTACAACAAATTTTGGAACAATCGATCGTTGTAATAAAAATGATAATTTATTTTATAATAGTAACCCTCCAATATGTACAACAATACAAAAAAATAATGGTAGCAGTACAATTGATGATTTAGGCATTGCTTCATCATCATTTTCATCAGATACAAGTAGTAATCCACGATCTGTCTCTCCAACCCATCATCATCAACAACAACAGTTAACAAAAAGACGTAGTCGTGACAGTATTTTTAATCCTTTACGAAAAATATCGTCTGGACACCATAATTTTAATTTATTTAAAACAAATGATTATCAATCGTCAACAATAGATCGTCTTTTCAGTAAACAAACTATGTCACAATTCATGATTACTACTGCCACTGTTACTACTACTACTACTACTTCTACTATTAATACTGCTAATACAACCACTTCCGGTACTGAACAATCATCAGTTCCTGTATTACATTCTAAATATAGTTGGAATTTCCAAAGAACATCATCTTTATCTCCTCCAGATATGATTGTAAATGATTCGATACTGGATAATTATAATCCTAATTCACTGTCAAGATATGATCGTTTACATCAAAATAGTTTTAAAGAACAATTTAATCTCAGTGGCGGTGGTGGTCTCAGTGTTGTTGCTACAACAATTGCAGTAACAACTGCTACGAATCATAATAATAATATTCAAGAGGGTATGTTTTTTTATGTTATTATAATTCTCTAATACTTATTTAATTCATCTTTTCTTCTTGCCCTAACTTTTATGATTTAAAAACATATGGTTATATTAAGATTTTAAGCAATTACAGACTGGTTTTGCTAGATGGGATAAGCAACCGTTGAGTACCAAGGAAATCCTGGACATTTGTGTTGTTTATGTATAAGATTTCGCTGTATCTATGGTCCTCAGAGTTTTTAAAATTCATAGAAAGCTTATGATTTCCTTTTAGACTATTCAATAAGTATACCAACAACTCTAGTTTCAACTTTGATCACTTCGCGATATAATACAAATATCATCTATCAATCTCAGTGATACTTGGCTCACAAATGATAGGGTTTGTTTTATCCCCGAAAATCACGTCTTCTTTCATTACTAGGACTTCAAATATCTTGAAGGTAGTGAACAGCATAGATTTATTGTTAGGAAAAAAAAGTTAATCAAGAGTGTTTATATTCAAGTTTTTGTTCATTACGCGATTCTGACAATTTATGTTTTTTCTACGAGTAAAACGTTTTGCTTTGTTATTGTTATTATTACAAAAAAAATGGATCCATCTACATTTACCCTATTTTGTTAATCACTTATCATTTTCCTAATAATGACTGTGTTAGGATCAATTATTAAGTTGTTTACTGAGATTCAACTCACATTGTTCTCTCATTTGATAGCTAATCATAATATTACTATTTAAACTACTCAAGTAGGTAAAGAATAGTGGTTCAATCCTTTCAGCCTACGGGTTGAAAGTCTGCCTAATTTAACCATTAAACCTTTTCTTACAATCCTAAATATCAATAACAAAATAATTCAAACTCTTACTACCAATAGTGATGCACACATTCATACCTGTTAAGTAAATTTAATGAATATCTGAACTTTGTAACCCAATGGAATTAACATGTTATCATTTGAACCCTAAAGGTACACTACTGGAACGCAATACTAATATGTTCAATAATAATTCTCCTAATTCTCAACTAGCCTAGTAGGAATACATTAAAGTTTATACAATCATAACGAAAACAATGTTGGATTGATATTAATCTTCTTATAATGATAATAATGATTATCGGTGAGACTACAATTTGTGGATGACCTTTGAGCGACTCTAAAGTGACCTTGAGAATGTCCATTTACTAACTTGGTTTAAATGAGGATTACAAACTAGTGTGTGTAATTAGGATTACGATTTACAGTTGGTGGTTAGGGTTTCCATCACGAACTGACATCAGCTAAACTGCCAAAACTTTTTTAGTCAAATGAATGAAATCCAAATCATATGAACTTAAATCTAATTGAATCGTCCATAAATTATAGTTTCTTCCGATTATCTAATCGAAAGTTTTTCCCTTATTACATTGAATACATATTACAGTTTCATTGATTTAAGTAACATGTATGCATTCCACTTGTGTTGCGCATGTTTATGCACAATTTTGTAAGTTCATAGAATAATATCTACATACATATATAAACAACTAAAAACTGATTAAATTTTTCCTCTTATTCAGCCATCCTATGTTTTTTTCTTTGGAAAAAAAAACGAATTATCAAAATTTTTATGACCATCGTTATTATTTTATTTGTCTGTAGTTAAATAGGCATTTCAAAATGTAACTCTCCTCTGATATTGATCACAAGTAAACCTGGGATCTGAAATTTCTTTTTTTCCCAACTAAACTACACATGGACTAATAGAGGTGTCTAAATATTGATAAACTATATAGATTCGTTTATTTTATGTGATTTTTTTTCTAAATCAACAATCTATAAATCACACACCAATCCCTAATATTTATTCCATTATGTATAATATGTCTATCGTGTATCATTTCTATGCAATCTTAGCTATCTTCATTGATTTATGATCATTAGTAGTTTTGTGGAGTCAGTCAGTCAGTAACAACGTGGAACTTCGTACGTACGTACGTACGTACATCAGTTCGAGTTGCCACACCACATTAGCACAGAGATGCAATTGTCGACTCAAATTCCGTAGTGGTAGAGGTAGTAAGAGTTTAAGCAGTAATCAGAAACATTAGGGCTTGAAGATGTTATTCTAGGAGTATAATACAGTGAAATAAATTAGTCGTGGAGATAAGAGATGTATTAGAAGGTATAGGAAGGATTTGAGTGTGACCAACTTGATCTCGTGTGCTGTTACGGGTATAAGGGCTGATGTCACTTCCCGGCTGCCCACACCGTAGAAGGGTATTTCTTGAGGAACCTGAAAAGGAAGTTGTATTAATGTTGGCCTTAGCGACCTGGGAGCGTGACCGCAGAGCCCAAGGAACAACTGCTTGAGGCCGGTCGTGCACGGGCTTTCCGTGGGAGGTTTTTAATGTGTTAGCTCCGTTCTTCAAAGGGCCTTATCGCCGGAGACGGAGATCCATGAGGTAAAGTGAGATGTGACATTTTTAGGGTCGATCTTTTCTAGCCCCACCCCTCCTTGTGGGAAGGCAGCATCGCTGCAGATGCTGGTTGTCCGAGGGAAACACTTCACTGCTGTCACACCCCTCTACAGTCAGCAGTACGACTTCTCCCTCAGACCTTGAGTTGCTGCTTTTAGTCTTACCGTTCTCCAATCGACCTGCCTGGCATGGCAGAACTTACAGGAACAAATGTTCCAGCCAATATAGCTCGGTTGGGTCATCACGATAGGCAAGCCCGACCACGGCGTCAAGGTAGCAGCTACGGTCGGGGTTTTATGGAGTATCTATTCAAAAAGGCGTGGGAAATCGGGCACACATTATTAATAAGGGCAACTATCAAGGGGCCGATTCATCACTACATCCCGTCAATCAGTCAGTCACAACATAGAAACTGGTGCGTATGTACGTCTGTTCAACTTGTCATAACTCATTAACACTGTGAGATCAAAGCCCTGGATATCAGGTTGTAGCAGTATGAGTGGTAATGGGAAAGATTAAGCATCAAAGATACTATTTTAAAAGAAAATATAAATTATTCAAATAAAAAGAAAGTTATGAGAACTTTAGAATCTCAGAATTTGTGGGAAGACAATGAATGGATGTTACGTGCTATCCCAGCAATATATTAACTGACCGAATATAGCAAATCAAAGAGGGAAGAATCAGTCTAATATGGATGTAAATATTGCATACATTATAAAATTTTCTTAACACATTTGAACATATTTAGATATGCACACTCAAATTATGTGCTTTTTCACTTCGATAATCTAGTGTCAATCGGTTTTTGTAATCTTCTACGACCAGTTTTATACGTACTGCTATCTCCTTATACTTTTTTAAAAAAATGCTGTTGCTGGAATCATGCAACAGATTGTTTAACTTTAGTCCATTTAAACTTTGTTCCTTTTTCAGGGCATAAATAAATTTCTATGTACTTCTTATATATAACCATCAACAATGCGTTAGCTAAAGCCCTTATATCTCCCCTCTACCACATTGTTCTTCTTATGAAGGACCTACACAACAGAGGATAAATCAAACATATTTCTCATCACTAAAAATTTTATCCTCCTTTCAGTCTTCATTTTCATTAATTTTCACATGTAATACAGCAATGAAAGGCTCCAGCCGAGAACTTTTAATTTTTTTGATGTTGACATCCCGCTGATGTATGAACGGTGCATTTACGGTCATTTCCTACTCCATATATAATTGGTCATAACCATCTATAACTAGAGAAAATAAAACGGAAGCAGAGAGTACGGAACAAAAAGGGCGATAATTACTGCGATAGGTTAGTTAGATCTACCATAATACGTGTCAGGTTAATTTGTCATCATCTAGTTAAGGTTTCCAGGACGTTGTAAGTATAAAGTAACAACAGGTAGGAAGTTTTGCTTAGTCGATTCAGTATTAAAAATGGCTAAACATTTAAAGTTCCCACAATCTCATTTGTGAAATAAAATACACTTACAGGTGCAAGAACATTTAATACATTTTCAGAGGAGCAGTAAGCATTGGTACAGCGAACAAATGGATGGAAGTGATTTTATCTCACCGATAGATTATGGTAGCTTATTCCAGAGTTTGGAAAATTTGCTGGTAAAGTAATTCATATAGAGAGATGATTTAAAATATGTTTGTTTCACTAATGACAAGGAGTTACGTATGCTGTAATTAGGAGTTTCTGCATATTGAATTACTTGAGTGGATGTAAAGGATAGTTTATTAAGTATTTTGAAGAAAAATATAAGATCAAATTTGAGTCTTCTCTTCCATAAAAAGGGTCAAGTCCAAGTCTGTTACATCTGGAATTATAATTCATGGTAAAACCAGTTCCAAGAATCCGAAGTGGAAGTCGTCTCTACTGATTCTAACCTTAATTTATCCTTTATGCAAACACTATTAGGAATAAACGTGTAGTATTCTAGATATCTGGGTATTAGTGTGGTTTATGCTACTTAAGTTGATAGATATAAGTAGTGTGTAACACCAATCGGAAGTGGAAAACCTAGCAGCCGAAGGCTATGAAGGTTGACTTGAAGAAAACAGAAACGGAATTAGAAAGGAATTGTGAGTCGGAAGAATCGTACAGAATATGATGGACACATGATGGAAATTCTCATTCGAAGTATTCAGTGTATGGTTCCATATTTCACCAAGAAATTCTATAATTTTTTATTTAAATACAATCGGTTGTCTCCACTTGTGTTCTCTTTCAAAACAGTAGTAGTAATAGTAGTACAACTTGTCAATTAACTGATTCAATTAAGCTTATTTTTAATTAATGATACGTTCATAGTTATCCCATACCTTCCTACTTTGTTTGTTCGTTTGTGTTTGAGATCAATGTCGTTTATTATTAAAGAGGACTTTTTCACTAGTTTCATTATAATGGAAGTAGATTATGATGAGTTCTTATGAAATGATAATGTGTCACGTTATCTGTCCTCTCTTCAATGTTCAATAAACACACAGTTATTATCTTACATTCTCAAGCATTTTCCCAAATCATTTAATTGGTATGTTCTTT